CCCCCCCACACACACACACACACACATGCACACTGTTGCATTTTCCATCCACATGCATTTCCACTTAACCACCCTGGCAGTGTGAAAACCTGTTGGTTAATGTTGAGAAGTACATTTGAGAAGATTTGTGTGAAAAATTCATGATAAATTAATTCTAATTTAAAGGTTTGGCCTGATGGTGGCGCTAGAGAACAGGTCAACTAACTGATTTTCAAGTGCCTGTCACAAAAACGTGGTCAACAACATTCCGTAAATCATTTTCACAAGGTAAATATCCCTGGGGTCAGACTGAAACCAAGGACCAAATTTGTTATTATATTTGAGGACGATTGGAGGGTTAAATGGGATACTCATGAGTGATGCTCTCTGTTTACCTGTTGAGCTACATTCCTACCCCCAAATACAGTATGATCATGGACTCAGGATAGTTACTGCAGTGCAGACACAGTTGGTTGATTTTATTTTTTTTTTACATGGGGTACCTGGGGTCTCCTTTACCCCAGATTTACACTACATTGATGATTTATGAACGGCACCAGGATGCACTATAATGCTGCAATATGGCCGCTCATTTTTGCCATTTTAAAGAACTCTTTTGTGAAAATGTTTATTGTTGAAACGCCAGATAGGCCACACAAAAACACACTTTTCATATTGGTGCACCTCTACCTACTGGTGTGAATGCACAAAATGCAGAGCTAGGGCTAAAGGGGAAGGTGGGTGGGGGGGGCATTGCATTTAGCCTTACTTTTCCACTGCTTTTAAACTATATCACCAATTGTACTGTATTTCCATGTCCTTCATCAAACTCTGATACAAACCGTACAACACAGAATACACCAGAAATCAAACTTAAAAGGCCAGTGGTGCACTTGCTGCACTCATGTGCTCAGATTTGCAGTCTGACGCCCAGGAGCTTTTTGAGAAGATGCTGATGCACAAATTCCCATGGGTTTAGTGGAGTGGACTGGAGCCAGTGGAAACTGCAAACAAACATTGGAGCTGCTGTATCTGATGTGAACACAAACAACCTCAAAGCCCTCATTCACACATCTGTGTGTACAATTGTGCATGTGTTTGGGTTTAAATGAAGAAAAGGGAGAAAAAAGTCTCTGTGTGTGGTGGTGGGGTGGGGGGGCAGTCGGAAGGTCTGCGTGTGTGTGTTTGGTTGCAACGACTGGAGGGCGTTTCAAAAGCATTACAGCATTGGATTTATGAGGGCATTCACAGAAACACTGGCAATAAAACAAAGACCCTAGCTCCTGTCAAAAGTTCATATTGGGTCCTATTGTGGCAAGAGTGGAAGGAGGAAGAACACAAGCGCTGTGAGAAAATATGGGGTGTAAAGTAAGAGGTGAGACAAGAGGTCAAGAGAAAACACAGCTGGCGGAAAAAGTTCCAGAGAGAAAAAAAAGGGAAGCAACAGAAAACAATTTTAAAGTAGAGGGGCTGGCTCTCATGACGGGCAAAAGGCTCGAGCAAAATCGAGAGAAACCAAGTAAAACAGTTAGCAGCTCTGCTCTCCCCTCCTGTTTCTCCACCCCTTAGTTTTTTGTTGCCAAGTTGACACCGCATTATGAGTCCGTGTTTTTTTTAATTTTATTTTTATTTTTTTATAATGGCTGGGTGTGTTCTGATCCCTGCACTAAAGCCATCAGAAGTCAAATTCCTTTGCTAATTAGTGGTGGGAACACAAGCGGGAAAAGGAATCAGCTGAGGAACAATTAAACATCAGAGGAAAAGTAATATTCTCAAACAATATTTCAAATGAGGGGGGTGTGCCCACATTGAGTGAGGCATGTAACTTGCTCCTCAAAGACCGCCCAAAAACATGTCACAGCTCTCTTGTACGCCAAGTCAGACTGCAGAAAAAAGCTAAAGTTGCCTTCTTGAATGTCAATTTGCGTGTCAGCGTGTTTTTGCACACATCCGAAATAAAAACAAACTTTTTAAATGAGTTTTCTGACCAAAGAAGACATCTCTTGCCTTGTTTTTTTTTGTCTGAACTACAAGAAAAGTTGCTGATTGTTGGTCACAGAACAGCTTTTATAGGGTGTTTAAAAGACCTTTCGCATGAGAGAACCTAAAAGTGAAGCAGCTGTACAATGATTGGTCAAAACAATGCAACTATAAAGGATTAGGCCAAATGATGTAAGTGTATCGTGATTTGTTAAATATGTGTGCAACCCCAGAACCATCATTCCGATGAAAATCTAGCTAACACAAAACGAAAGTCATCTGCATAAATGAGAGTTTTATTTAATGTTAGCCACTGAAATCCTAACAAAGGACAGAAAAGGAGTGCAGCCTGAAATTTATGTGGGGAAGCCTTTTACGCAGAATGATCCAAACGCCACAGAAATCCTAATGACATAATGAAGATATTTACCCAAATTACTGTTACTATTAAAGATTCAGAATGCTTCCCAAACAAACGAATGTAAAGAGCAAGCTTTGAAGGCGCAAATCTAAAAACGCAACGTGTTGAAAACTTAATATGTAGTATAAAGCGTGATGGGATAATTACAAAGCAAAATGCAGTGCAGTGTTGGGTGTATTTTAGAATGTAATGAATCATTTGTGTTGGGTACTGTAAATTGTTTTTGTTCACACTTTAGCTGAAGGTCTTGCATGCACCCAGAAATCCTGGAAGACCTGACATGAAATGCTAACGTTATGATGACTAATGTGAAGCCATCAGAGCAGATGTTGGTGTTTTACTGGCATGTGCATGACTAAGACAACGTTGATGATACAATTTGTGTTCCTGGAGGCACTACTGGACAAAACTTTGAATTAGTAGTTTTGTAGAAAATATATCTATATTTAAAAAATAATAATAATCGTTGAAAGAATGCATACTACCTGTTTCTTTTCATGACAGTTCTATGACAGTTGTAGACTGAATCGTTTCTGCCGTCTCCTGACTCCTGACTTGGCATACAATGACTCAGCCTGCAGCTGAAAATGTGGATGGAGACCAGCAGATCTGCTTCACAAAGGAAGAACCCCAGCTTAGCCTGTTAGCTTTAGCATTAGCGCTGATGCTATATTGCCTTATGTGTATTAGCTCGGCGCTATAGCGCAACAAACTAACAAGCTAAACTGAGGTCCTCCATCCACATTTTCAGTTACAGACTGAGTCATTTCTAACTTCTCCTCTCTGTCAACGCTCTCTGGTTTCATTTAAAAGAACCAATTGTCAGATATTGTCCAAGATTAACCTTCAGGGTGGATTTAGCTCACTAGCAGCCTCGCACCGAGGACCTCATTGACGTTATCATTTACCCAGTATGCTCTGCGTGTAAATAAAATGGCTCAGTCCATGTAATATATGTTGAAAATTTTTGTTTAAAAATTAATCCATCCATCCATCCATTTTCTTCCGCTTATCCGGAGTCGGCCAACAGGACCACATCATCCGCAAAAAGCAGAGATGCGATCCTAAGGCCACCAAAACGGATCCCCTCAACACCTTGGCTGCGCCTAGAAATTCTGTCCATGAAAGTAATGAACAGAATCGGTGACAAAGGGCAGCCTTGGCGGAGTCCAACTCTCACTGGGAATGAGCCCGACTTACTGCCGGCAATGCGGACCAGACTCTGACACCGGTCGTACAAGGACCTGACAGCCCGTATCAGAGTGCCCTGTACCCCATACTCCCGAAGAACCCCCCACAAGGCCCCCCTTGGGACACRGTCGAACGCCTTCTCCAAGTCCACAAAACACATGTAGACTGGTTGGGTGAACTCCCATGCATCCTCTAGGACCCTGCTGTGGGTGTAGAGCTGGTCCAGTGTTCCACGCCCAGGACGAAAACCGCACTGCTCCTCCTGAATCCGAGGTTCGACTATCCGA